TTTCATAGATTCTGGGACACCTAGAAATTTTCTCGTTTCCCGGAATCTTTTCGGGTTCGTCCGGTAAATTATCTAGCTCTCTGGAAACTACATCGCTATTTTCGAGCCTTCAGTCCGGAGACAGCAATGTAGTTTCTAGAGAGCTAGGTAATTTACCGGACGAAACTGAAAAGATTCCGGGAAACGAGAAAATTTTTAGGTGTCCCAGAATTTATGAAAGCAGCTGTAACTTAGCTAGCTTGGTTGACCCGACTGATTCGGTTAACCCGGGTCAACTGATCTAACCGAAACAATACGGCTAAACCGGTTGTATTCGGGTAAGTTAATTCGGTTAACCGATTAGGAATTTTTTACCCGGTTCTAACAACATGCACTTAAAAATTTTTTTTTATACCCATTTTTTTTATAAGCACCTTTTTTTTTTTATAAGCATATTTTATTATAAATACATTTTTTTAAAACCTATTTAATATAATAAATTTGATCTTTATAATTACCATATACAAGATCCCAAAATAGTGGGCCCACCATGAATTAGACGGGTGCGAACCACGAAATCTTTATTACAGTCAGACCTCCCTCTATAAGTGCACACCTTCTTCAAATGCACACTCAAGTGCTGGCCCAAAAATATACTTAACCTCTATAAACGCACCTTTTCTTATTATTCTCTATATGCACGTTATTAAAGTGTGGTCCAAGGGCGTGCACTTAGAGAGGTCTTACTTTATATAACAATTAATAACTAATTAAATAAATTTTATAACTTGAGGTGCTGCTAGTGATAGGATTTGCTAGGATTAGAAAATGATATTGGCATACCGTATCTGCGCGTAATAACGCACATGGACGTTATTTCTAAACTCACATTTTTTTAAAAATTTGTTTTTTTTTGACTCAAAATAACGCCTATGCGCGTCCCGAAATAACGCGCCCTTTAAATAGACCACATTACATATTTGATCGAATTTTTCAGGCTATGTTCATTAATAAAAGTTGGGCACCAAATTTGTCAAAATGATTCGAATTACCGCGCATGCGCGTCCCGAAATAAAATAAAAAAAAATAGAAAATTAAAAAATAAATAAAAAAAATAAAAAAATAAAAACAAAAGATAAAATAATAAAATAAAGAATTTGTAGGCATCACAACTAGCGATGGCGTAATTGACGAAATAAATCAAATTTTTATGTATCAAGACATCATACTTAGGTAGAGATGTTAACCGACTCAACTTTGGGTGCCCTAATTTCTCCCCAAGTTGTGATTGGACGCATGAAATCCCGTCTTTAATTGGATAAACTGAATCACGCCATCTTAGCCGCAAAAAAAATTTTTTTTTTATTAAGCGAAAGTATTTTATTTATGCTCTTCTAGAATTCTTTCTGATGGTAAAAAAAAAAAAAATCAAAATAATCTAAACCATTAACGAAAATAAAGTTTTTATAAAGTTTTTGTTCAGTACTTTATTCTCAAGAGAATAAAATTTTGCTGAGACCTACGTTTACAAGGTTGTAATTTTAAATATACCCAACGCTGTTTCAAAATTCCTTTATTATATTTTGGCCGTGATTTTTCTTTTTAAAAAATATTTGACATGAACATTCGAAATTTTTCAAGTTCATTTTTATTGATGCTAATTCAATACTGAAAATTGCTAATTTTTAATACTAATATAATAATGTAACTTTATTTTTATACTCAGATTATTGACAACCCGGGTGGGTCGGATATCAACCCGTCGATCCTTTAATAATTGGGCAATAAAAAACGTTAAATTATGAATTTAACTCTAAAAGAGATTCTGTAGTAGAAACGAAAAGTGTGCAAATTTAAGCTGATGTAATATTTCTGAGGCTCGGTGCCAGAATGCGAACCTCAGAAGATTGTACAAGGATAGACAAGTATGGATGATTGTATTAAAGAGTTCAATTTAATGCTACGGAGTATGAGAGTGCAATCGATTAGATACTGTAATATTCAAAAAATTGTTGATAGAGTTCTGTGACCCTAGTTAGATAGAAAACGAATAAGGATGGATGGAAAAAATACAATTTAAGTGGAGTTTTAAACACCGCACAGTTCTAAAAATTTATTAAAGTAATCGTCCACCCGGGTCATGGTTTTTGAAATACTACTTTAAAATTAGTGTTTGTTAACTTTCACTCTTAAAATGAACATCGAAGCCGCTAATATAAGTGATCAAAATAAATGCTTTTAAGAATCCTCATAAATGAGCATACAGTAATTATTAAATTAAAATTGCTTTATATATTTTTTTATTACAAGTCACTTTGAAAATTTAGATACAGTATAATGAGAGTTAATTATTTAAATTTTCGCGATCTAATATGTGAGAGAACAATGCTTTACGTAACTTATTAATCTCTAAGAACTGATATTACAGAAGTTAAAAAAACTGATATTACAAAAGTTAAAAAAAATATTACGTTTTCATCGAACATATAAATAACAGATAAGTATATAATTGTTAGGCATTTGTATTAAAAAAAAATTTATTAACGTATTGTAAATTAATTTATCAGGGCAACTTTGAAATTGTTTGCAAATACGAAGTGGCGCTCCGAAGTATTATTATATAATATAGCAACAAGTATTATTTAAAAATTCTTGCCGATTATTAACAATCGAATTCATCATCCTGTCAAAAACGTAAACCAAATTTATGAATTTGAAAATAATAAATAAAAACAAGCATTGAATGCTTAACCCGTATATAACAGATAAATAAAGCAAAAAATGGAAACTTCATGAATAGGATATGGGTGATGTTCGTGAAATGCAAGAGAATGCCATAGAATCTTTATTATATCAAAGAAGAAAGTGCACCAATGGATCTTAATGTAATTATAGGTCTTTCGGATCGAATTTACAAATTAGAGATGATGAATCACATATAAACTTAATAGTAATTGAAATTAAAGCTCTGCGAGAAAGGTAATTGATACTTACATTTTTAAAGCATATATATCAAAAGAAAATCTGTCATCGGACTTCCAATTATATTTGTGTACAGTTAACCGTCTACGGAAACTCCATATATTTTTCATAGACGACTAACTGTACACAAAATATAATTGAAAGTCCGATGACAGATTTTCTTTTGATTCACTCATATTAATATATAGTTTTTACAGCGAAATTCATATTATCCATTAATTCCATTAATTGAAGAAGCTAAAAAAACCATATGAGAGATCGAATATCACTTGATAAATGCACAACTTAACATAACAATTAATAAATTTCTTGATAATAATATTGCAGAAGACAACGAATCAAATAAATGAAACTGATTGACAGTGTAAAAAACTCTTATTATTTTATCAAATTAATTATATACCATAATAAATAGAAGTATCTAATATTGATACTACTCTTGACCTTCTTGATAACCTTCCGCAGCAATAGAAATGGTCGAAAAACATCGAATCAATTTTAAGGATGGTAGACGACATAAAAAATCTGAAAGCTTTCCAAAATCCTGGTATAAACAAAACAAAAAAAACATTTATTATTGGTAATAAATATTTCATGTTATAGTATGTAAAGTTAGGTAACAAAATTCACTGAATAATTTCGAATGAACATGGCTTTTCATTTTTTGCGCAATAAATTTTTATAATTAAAACTTCAATTAAGTTTGAATATCGATATATAATGTCGCGGATGATATTGAAATCTGGAGGCCTTAATTTAAAATGCAAAATCCTCCTATACTCTTATTATAACCTTAAATCCTAGTCCAACCCTAAAAAAGAGGCTAAAAAAATATACACCAAAAAATCGTATATTAATTTAATTAAATATAATATATTGATATGGTTTTTTAATTTCAGCATGATCCGATTTCAGCATCGTCTGTGACATATGAAATAACCTGCTGGATTAATCTGGATGAGTATCAGATTTTAAATAGCAATTAGTAATTTAAATTGCAATAATGACATATTACTAAATTTTATTGAAATTGGAATTATTGGCTAGTCCGAAAAAGCAGACAAAAATATTAGTATGAATGAACTTTTATGATTTAGATAGATAAAAAGAGTTAATAAACCTTTTTATTTTTATCTAATATATGCAAATAATAATCTACGCATATTGCATAATTATCCTAAAACATAAAACCAAGTTTCTCATGATCTAGCAATCGGATCTGTATTACTATTCGAATCAACTTATCAAAACGATTCGAATAGTACCAAAGTTATGCAGATCCGATCACTAGATCATGAGAAACTTGGATATGAAAATTGCAAAAGGTGGTTGTTTATTCACGGCAGGATGCGTTATAGACATGAATTATCGCTGTGTAAAAGATTTTGACTCCAAAAAATTTTTATTTTAAATTGCTGCTCCTTTTATTCACGATAATATTAAACGATGTCTCTTACTGCAATTTTTTAATCGCAGGATAGTTTTTTAAAAATATATACAATGATAACCTAATGGTACGATCCATTTGCATTAGTTATTTGGCTGGTTAAACACGAGACTTTTTTTCGAAAAGACGACACATTTCATGAGTTCTCCCCTTTGCCAGTTAAAATTCTGGTCTTGGCTTATAATATGAAATATAAAGGTGCTTTTGAAACAACAAAGATACTGAGTTTATAAGGGATTTAATTGATATTCTTTGCAAATAAATTGTAGTAATGATATTGGTTTAACAAGAAATATAATAAAAATATGAACAAACTCAGACTCAAAAGTAAAAGAAATCATCAAATCTATTTACATGTAGCATTAAAATTGATTACACGGTTGCTTATGACGGAAACGTCATTAGTGATAACTCACTATTGCTAAACGATTAAACTGTGAAAAATAAAATACTATACAGATTTACAAGAATTTTTTCAAAAAATGCAAAAATAACAATACAGAAAGCAAATAAATAAATAAAATAGACAAATATTAATCCGTAATTCACAGAATAAATATCTTTCTATTCTTTATACATGCAATTAAGTCGGCTAATCTGAAGAATCATTTCTTCGATGACTATGATTTACTTCTCCCTCACTTTTTCTTCTAAAAGCAACACTTTTACCTAGCATGCTCACTTTCCTGACCATACCCTTAACAACATTACTAGCATTACTAGCATTACTAGTGGTACCAGTAGTAAATTCATCAGAATGAGAATGTCTGGCCTTGCGATATAACACTTTAGCCATATCCTTATATCCACAATCAGTAGCTATTCTTACAGCCCATTTGTTACTACGATTCACATCTGCACCACTCTGTATTAAAAGTCTTGTGAGCTCCCAGTCATGATTAGTAACACATAATGCCAAAGGTCGTCCATCGTCTGAATTAGGATCTGCACCTGAATCCAAGAATAAACGAATCATTTTCTTCCTCGCCTCTCTATTAGCTTCCTCGCCAATATAATTTTGAAAGTAGCATTGAATACTAAATTCTAAAAGGGATGTAGCCCCATAAATTGAAGGATCATCTGCGCGATTTGATGGTGATATATTTATAGCCGCGCCGCTGTTAATTAAAATTTTTGCAGATTCAACATCAGCTTTTTCAATACATAAGCGGAGATATAAAGGGTTATTTTTTTGAACGGTTCCGACACCTTGTTGAAAAGCCCACCCAATACCTGCAGTGTATTGTCGATCTACACTCTCATCCAATATATCTAGAATATGTTGCTGATTAAAAGCTACAGATGAAGCAACATCAAGTCGTTCATGAAGAACAATTGCAAATGCCAATTCAGTGCTAGTAAAAAAGTCCTTTGTAAAAGCAAGTTGTTCAGAAAATATCATTGATTTTTTTGCAGCGATAATCAAAGGTGATAAGTAATCTTTTCGTAATCTATTGTCAACATTGATTCCTTCTTTTGTTCTTTGGATATCTTTAGAAGTATGATATTCAACGTATTTTTTCATATTCAATCCACGAGAAATTAGGAAAGGAATTAATTGATCACTTTCATTGTGCAAGATTACTACATCCACCAACTTCGTTACACTACCATCAGACGAAGAAGCAAGCGGTTTATTACATAATTTTTGTAAATCAATAATTTGCATTAAAATGTTGAATGGAGTCTTTGTCTCAACTGCTTTGCAAAGTTCAGAATAAGTAGGTAAAAATGCATCTGGAAGTTTTGAATGAAGCCATCTACGAAGCCAACGTCGTTTAAAGCTTGGCGAATTTATTACAATTGTATGAAATTGTCGACACACGGAAGAAACAATATAAGGATTCGGAAGAAATACTAATATAGATTCTAAAATTTCAGGAATAATAGTTTGCAAAGTTGGTGAAAAAGTGAGTTGTGTATTTTTTTGATGAATGGACATCTGTTCAAATTATTTATTTCTGACGCTAGAGTTTGTTGAATTTTTGAGCAGAGTATTTTTTGACTTTTTTCCAGTGTATACTTATTTATATACAATACCTGATACGTAATATATACGTACAACATACTTATTTGTCAAAGCCTTGTTTGGTTTTAATTTATTTAATTAATATATTACTATTCAATCATAATTTGTGAAACCACCGATCAACATCGTTTTTGTGCTTTTTATACAATAACAGATAACACTTGCAGATCATAAACGAACCAACCGTATATGGCTCTTTCACAGCTTATATAAAATATATACTCTAAGCATGATTTTGCCCCCATACAATCAATTAGTAAACAAAAATAAAATCAAATTCCGGAAAATATCCCAAATTAATTTCTCTTACTTTCCTATCTCTCTTAGCTTCTTTATGAATATTTAAATTCAATTGTTTGATATTCATAATTACTATGACTATAATATCAATGTTTAGATAAGCCATAATTTAATTTTTTGTGCCCAAATTTAGTTGCATTCTCAAGCAGGAGCTTAGTAAACGTGCTTAAATTAATTTTGTTGTTAAACTTACCAATCTTTTTCCTAATATCTTATTAATAGTAACATGGTATAAACACCTTTTGAGTAATGATTTTAAAGGTTGGGTTGTAACATTTTTCGTCAATTTTTTGATAGGTAACACCTGTCAATTGTTTTACTTCGTCATTATGAAATTTATACTTATTGCTGTATCAACTGTAAAAAGTTTAATAAGTACGCAAACTAAACGCCATAGTAGTTGGATTTTGTTATCAAAGATACCTCCTGTGGAAACATTCTCCGGATACAGTATTCCCGATCCGTGTAGATCGTCTATATTTATAACGCTCTTTAATTTTTTTGCCAAAAAAAAAATAAAGATTAGCTATATATAGATGATCTATATTTAGAAATTGTTATAAAAGCAATAGTGTCCATAATTTTAAGTGGCCGGAAAATTTTCGTTCATCTGACAAATCTCTAAAACTTCACTATGATAAAAAAGCAGAAAAGCAGATTACAATTTTGCGCACTGACCAATTATTCTATGGTGCCAAGGTCGCGACTCTAAAAACGGACTTATCCCTTTGCGGACTTCACATAAATCATAGAATATATAAAGGTGTGTAATATTATTAAAGCACTAAATCGCCTACTTCCTTTTAAATCTTTACTTTGAGTCATATAATCACAATTGAAATTTTGTGCAACAGAAGTTAAAAGTCAGTGACTCAACAAATTATATGTTACAGTATCGTTATATAAGTTATAAACGAATATAGAAAACCAGTAACTATTAGATTAGCGTATTGATTAATATATATTAGGTAAGTGTAGGATAGAGGGCACGACATGCCTATTTTACGTTGGGGCACGGGATTCTTGAGCATGCCTTCAGAAAATTCTACCGCAATTCATGTGATTTATTATAGTCCACAGAAATTTTGGCTTACGTAGAATTTTATAATATATGTCAAGGATGCCTCTGAAATCGGATGATACTGAAATTAGATTTGGACTAGAATGCTAGGGTTTATAATAAAAGAGTATAGGTGAATTTTAGGAGGATTTATATTATTTCGGCATCATCCGATTTCTGCAACCACCAAAATCAGTTACGTACAGAGTTACCGAAAAATTTGATTAAAGATATATGATGTAATGTATTAGTCATTTATACGATTTTGTTAATGTCACGATATCTGTTTATAATATGAGTGCCATCAAGGGAAAACCTGTCATCGGGCTTTCAATTATATTTCGTGTCTAAATTCTTGATCGTAGTTATCTCGACGACTACTGCACTAAATTTGATGATAATTTTTTATTCGAATATGTAGAATCCGAATAAAAACATTTACTACGATCAAAAGTTTAGACAGAATATTATTGAAAGGATGACAGGTTTTCCTTGACGGCGCTCAAATAGTAACAAGTATTTCTTTTTTTACCAAATATTTCATAAAAATTATTGTTTACCCCGAGAATGCCTGAAAATCTCAGAGTAGTTTATAAAAAATGTTAATACTGAAGAAAAAGGTGCACGAATGGATCTTAATATACCGTGCAGCGTGGACTAAAATACCCCTTTTATAATACCCCCACGATTTTGGAGGCCTAGAATGTAAAGTACCCCGGGTACTAAGGACGGATTAATTGCACTTGGGAATGTAAAATACCCGGGTCTAAAAATGGATTAATTACTTGGAGTATTAAAATATTAACCATAGCGGCCGCAACAAATTTGGACCGGCAGATCCTCGAGTTTGATTGGCTAACGGCCGAGGATCTTCAAAATTTTGGCCCACATTACAAAATTGTTTACTAAATTCCGGCCGGAAT